CCTGCCCCTCTGTTCTCCTCTCCTCTGGTTCTTCACCTTGCTCATGCTGTCCCCTGACACTGCAAAGTTTGATCCTTTGTTTTTCTGTAACACCTCAAGGTCTTTTTTTGATTCCAGGAGGCATTTCTATCTCCTGCCCTCTCCACTTAGAGTGTTCACCCCCTAGACCTCCAGAGACAGGTTCCTTTTCATCCAGTTTGGTTTTCAACTATCACTTCCTCTCTGGAGGACTCCGCCCCCCCCTCCCCCCACTTTCTAAAGTAACACCTCGTACTACATTACCTGAAAGTATTTACCTCTTTATGTGTTTAATTCTGCTCTTCCCCACTAAAATGTAATTTCCAAGATGACAGAGACTCTGTCTTATTCATTACTACCTGCTCCATGCTTAGAATAGTGCCTGGTCTGTAGTCCCTAATACACACAATAAATATGTGTTAAAGTATGGAGGGAAGGAGGAAGGGAAAAGGAAAGAAGGGAAGGAAAGGAAGAAGGAAGGAAGGAAGGAAGGAAAGAAGGAGGGAAGGAAGGAAGGAATAAAAGGAGGGAAGGGAGGAAGAATCTGGGAGGGAGGGAAGAAACAAGGAAGGATTTCAAATCCCACGGCTCTGTTTAGAGCTAAAGATGAAATCATGGGAACCCGGGGCTATTCATTCCTGGGGATTAGAGGTTACTCGTGGCATTCAGTGCAGCGTCTCTGGCTTCCCTTTGCTCATTGTAACTAACACGGTATGCTTGCTGGTAAAGCGCTTTGCGTTCTTTCTGTGTGAGACTTCAATTCAGTGCATTACATTGCTCCATTATTCTATTTGCTGCAATGGAAATACATTTAAGAATATTGAGAGGAGTAAAGAAAATCCAAGAAATACGTTACCAAGATAAAAAAGTGGAAGAAAAGGGACAAGCATTGGGGAGTGACCTGAATATTAAAGACAAAAATTATCAACAGCATATTCAAGTGGAGAGAAGCAAATGAATGAACGTAAAGAATGATTACTCTGAAAGAGTCTGGAGCTTTGTAACCAAAATGTTGACAATTTGAGATGGAATAAATTCCATATGGGCTTTAACATGGAAGATTCCACAAGGATATCTGCATGGGTTAGCCCAGCATTGATTGCTCTCTTATTTGAACGATCTTATTAAATATACAATAATGTTAATACATAGGCGTGTTCCTTAAAGCAGGAACTATTCCCTTGATAATGAAGTGAGAAGGCTCGCTTGGGAAAGGTATTAGAAGCTATCGCTCACCCTCACGGTGGCTTATCCCTGAGTCAACGTCCATGTGTGGCTGGAAAGCATGAAGATGGTTATTACAGCATCTTACCTGGCGACGAGCTTGCCAACGTCTGCCTAACTGCCTGTGGAAAAAACCGCACTTTCTTTTGAGGGGCTGAATGATCTGAATATAAATAAGCAACTCTTTCCGCCTGTCAGTTACCTCAAGAATATTTAGTATTGTCTCTTTTAATGACTGCTCATTACAGGTGAGCATGAGTGAGTGGATTTAATCAGGGCAATACGGGGGAGTCGTCATGTGACTTTCGCCACACTGGGACTTGTTCCATCTGTTCCAAGCCGTTTGTCCATGTAAAACTGTCACCGTTCCGAGCCAGTGACTGACAGGTGAGGCCTGACATGTACGTTTTTCATCTCAGAGCCAGAAATTCTCTGATGCATCCTGCTCACTAAAACTAACGGTTTAAGAGACAAACAGGGGGCTCTGTAATTAGGACCATTTGTCTCTGGTTTGTTGCGCTGCTCATTAAAATATTTAGCTCACTCTCGCTTAGCACAGCACGACCAACATCCACGGTTATTTTGATTGATGTGGTAAAATCTGAGGGGAAGGCTGGGTAACAGGACCCTGGAGGTTCTTCACATCAGCTCTGAAGTGCAGCCGCCTCCGGGGTCTGAATGGGACATTAGTTCAGCAGCCACACAAGTGCTGTGCTGCTCTGGACAGACATCCCTCATCCCGCCATCCTTTGGTGGAAGAAATACAAGTCTCAGGCGAGTTGGTGGCACTTGTCCAGGAATGGTGCGTCTTCAACAGCCTCTGTGTGTGCTTGCTGAAGAGACTGGTGATGGAAATTATTTAATGAAAAAAATGTAGCTTAAGCCTCATGAATTTTTATTTTTGACTCCCTGGGATTTCTGCATCAGAAGAGCTGCTCTTCATGAAATAAAGTTCTCTGTGAAGAATTGCCTCGACTCCCCAAGCTAGTTCTAACAAAAGTTATAATAGAATATTTGAGAGCCAAATATTCCCTCAAGATGCTTAAATCCAAAAGACAAACAGCATGTTAATAAATAGAATTGGCCATAGTGATTTCCTTTAAGTCTTTGGTGTACTATGCATTATCTGTGCTCACTGGCTGTCAGTGCTGAAAGAGTACATTGCTAGTCTAGATTCAGACTAAAATTCCATCCCCCTGCCCCTCAATTTTCTGCCTTAGCATTACCATTACTTTTCTGCAATGTTGATGTGCCCAGACCATGCGGAAGGGCTCAGAATGTCAATGTCATGGCAACAATGGGTCCACAGCAGAGAGCTAGGTGCTGATCTCATGACACGGTGTTTCTAGGAACAGAGAGCTGGGAAGCAAATGCTGTCTTTCAAAGTGACTTTGTAATGTTTATTTCTCTTTCCCTTTGCTATGAAAACCCTTATGTAATTGAGTTGGGTGCTACTTAACAATCACACCACATGTGAAACACCAAAAGAATGAGTGAAGGTTGGGGGTGAGAAGAAAGCCCAGGTGTGCCCTCACAGAGCCTCGCCTCGCAGGGCACAGGCTGGTAACCGGCATTTGCCAGCACAGTGACAGGCTCAGCGACAGAGGGCTGATGAGAAACCAAGGAAGTAGTAGTCAGTGCTCTTTCACACGTCCTCAGATTCATCATTGCACAGGTGGATGCCCTTCCGTTTCTGCTTTTCCAGCCTGCAGAATGGAACATAGGGAAGGTTTTCGTGCTGTGTTCTTTCCACCTGAGGAGAAAGAACAAGGTTTATCCTGATTGTCATGCTTCACTGTGGATCTATTTTGAGAGAATCCATGCATGAGCTGCCACCTGCAACGCCACCTTGAAGACGTCCCCATTTGTTCCCTTCATCGCACTGAAGCTATGACCAGAAGGACAGCAGGGTCCTACATCACACAGACATTATATATTCAGAGAAGAATGACAAAGTAATCCACCACTAATGTTTTCATATGGTTCCCCTTCCAGTTTCCTAAAAGTAAGATTCATCTTAAGTATTTTTTATGACACCTTTGGACAAAGGAACATGTATCCATAAGGACACATGCCTCATTACGGGGTCTGCTGGGAACACTGTGACCAAGTGCTGTGGTGAAAAATCTCCAATTCCCCCAACATTTCATAAATTCTTCTCCACTTTGTGCTCTGGTGGTGAATTGTCCAAATAACTAACCTAGTTTTCTGTCACATTATACATGGCAGCTTGCTCTGTCTTTAGTCTCTGAGTGCCTTGAGGACAGAAACTGTGTTCTGTCCACCACTGTCTCCCCATTGTTTGGGATAATGGTGCTCAACTGGGGGGGATTTTGCCACTCAGGAAACATTTGGCAATGTCTGGAAACATTTTTGGTTGTCACACCTGGGGAGGAGGGTATACTACTGTCATCTAGTGGGTAGACACCAGGGATGTTTGTAGACATCATCCATTGCACAGGACAGCCCCCGTTTCCCATGGCCAACAAAGAATCATCCAACTCAAAATGCCAACAGTATCAAGATCGAGAAAACTTGTTTAGCATAATGCCTGGCACAGCATACATGTTAATAAACGCTAATTTAATTTTCCCAAAGATAGTCTGTTATGACAACACATTGAATTGTGTACTCCTTTATTGTTACTTTTCCCCTGAACAACACACTCATGTTGTAAAATTCTCATTGTTTTGAAAAAATACCCAGGAAGAGGTTTCAACCCCTATATTGTGGAATTATACCGTGTTTCCCCCAAAATAAAACCTAACTGGAAAATAAGCCCTAGAATGATTTTTCAGAATGCTCGTAATATAAGCCCTACCCCAAATATAAGAGCCAGTGAACATCATCAGTCAGACATGACTATTTGAATAAATGTAGATTTTTGTATATGAATAAATGTAGATTGTTGGAGCAAAAATTAGCATAAGAACCAGTCTAATTTTGGGGGAAATATGGTAGCTGTTCATTTTGTTGTAAATTCCAGGGGAGATTTCAAGAGGAACTCGTCACGCCACCATTTCTGTGACATAATCTCAACCCCTATATTATCCTGCAAATAACTGCTGGTGTGAATGCTGCTGAGTGATTCCCTTTGTTGCACGTTACCTTCCTTCAGGCTTTTGACCTATTGTATACACATATTTGTGACGCTTTCTGTTTGTCACATATGTTTTATTACATAATTGTTTTGAATTTTATGTGGTCCTAAATTGCTCATTACATATTAGAGAGCTACTACTTAGGAGGCTTATGTGACCCATTGAACTTCATCATGATAGCAGAGGAGACAATGTCAAAAAAAAAAAGTTCAGATAAAGAATGCCTCACAGACATTAAGTAGTATCCTACCTGTAGGCACAATTAAATATTCATGGTAGAGAGGAAGGATTGAGGAACTTCCACTAATTATGTAATGAAGGAGCCCTTCTCCCAGCATGGAAGGTATCTCATTTCCACCATTTGCTTGTGATGTTGACGTTGAAAGCTAAGTAGATCTGGAAAATGCAAAAGCCTTCAGGAAGAAGCAAATAGTTGCCACAGTATCTCTTTCTTATTTGACTGCCTAGGAACTAAATGGAGAAAACAGTGATATAAACACAGGCACACCACCTTCCTACCTCACTGCCTTTCTTATTAGAATCCTGTGCCGCAGAGGGATTATGATCTAGTTGAAAAACAGACAACTTGAAGAATCCCAACTTTCCAAAAATCTATAACTGCACTATTTTTTAAAGTAAGGATTTTTTTTTATCAAAATGCTAGCACCTCATGTCATCACCCATCTTTTTTTTGCTGTGATACAATTTCTCTCAGGGGCTTTGGCAAATGGCATTATTGTGCTTGTGACTGGCATGGATTTGATCAAGCAGAGAAAGATGGCGCCATTGGATCTACTCCTTTGCTGCGTGGCAATTTCCAGGATTTGTTCCCAGATAGTCACCTTCTACCTTATTCTGGCTGTCCTGTCCTTGGTTGAATTCTGGCCACTTGCTGAGACGCTTATACTTTTCATGTTTGTGAGTGAATCAGCACTTTGGCTTGCCACGTGGCTCAGCGTTTTCTACTGTGCCAAAATCGTCACCATTGTTCACCCATTCTTCTTTTGGTTGAAATTGAGGATATCCAAGTTGGTTCCATGGCTGATTTTTGGATCCTTGCTATATACATCTTTAACTGCTGTTTTACACAGTAAACATGCTTGGGTTATTTCCCAGAAATTCTGGTTGGGCCTTTTCTTCCCAAATGCAACAATTCAAATCGAAGAACTACCTACGTTACAAGTTGCCTTTCTTTGCACTGAGTTCTCGTTGCCATTACTTATCTTCCTTAGTTCTGCTCTGCTCTTGATATTTTCTCTGGGGAGACACACCCAGCAGATGAAAAACACAGCACAGGGCACCAGGCACCCTAACATGAGTGTCCACGTCAACGTACTTCTGTCCATCCTGTCTTTCCTGATCCTCTACCTCTCTCAGTACATGATAGGTGCTTTAGTCTTTTTTCAAATTTCCAAGGTCGGACAGCTCTTCTTTCTGATTGCCATGTTTGTGGTTGGTTCATACCCCTCTGGACACTCCATTATCTTAATTTTAGGAAATCCTAAACTCAAACAAAGTGCAAAGAAGCTCCTCCTCCACAGTAAGTGCCGTCGATGAGAGACAACTTTGGTCCTTTTCAAAGAACTGGTGGTCCGATGAGAAGACAGTGCCTGCCAGCCTCCTTCAGGCAAACACCAGCCTGTTCACAGATACACAAAACATCATCTAAAGACTGTTGGTGAAACCTGAGGTGTTTTTATGGACTTGCTCCTTTTTCAAAGAGTTGAGTTGAGTTTCAAAGCACAACACAGGCTGGTGGGTTACATCAATGTCAGTATCTGCATTGTGATATTGTACTGTTGTCTTACTAGATGTTACCTAATTGGGGAAGATGGGATAAGTCGTACAGAGAGCTTTCTGTATTCTTTCTCACAACTGCAAGCGAATCAACAATTATCTCAAAATAAAAAATTTAAAGAAAAAGTAAAGCACGTTTGAACTTGTGATGTCAGAAAGATGCTTGAATGCTGTTGGGTTCCTGTGTGTCTGCCCCTTAGTCTTAGATGATTTCTCCTGAAAAAAAGGGCTGACTGCTCATCTCTTGTTTACCTGGATATTATTTTTGTTCTGTTTGTTAGAATTACAGGCAATGGAAGTATCCTCCCACCTCAGATCAGAAGGGAAGTTGGGGGCAGGCTGGCCTTCCCTGTCATTGTAAGCTCGCCTACTGCATGCTGCTGAGAGCGTAGGTACAATGGTGACATGTCCCATCAACTGACAAAAAGGCAGACAGGTGGAGGAGAAAGAGGAATCCAGCGCTGAGCCCTCGTTTTCCATTTCCCCCAGTTAGGCATACCGATCACACAATAGCTTGCAAAGATGTTTCATTTTGCACTTGTGGGCTCAGCGTTGGGACCCTTTCAGATGAGGGTGTCAGTTTGGAACTCCTACCATGTTGCGTATCTTCCCAATGAAGCAACCTCAGTAGGTGGGTGGGCTGCGGGTGTCTCCATCTGCTTGCAATCACAAACGCATTTTATATTTGATGACTTTGGGTGCTAAGATATAGATGTATATTTTTAACACAACTTCAGCACCATTTTGCTTCCAGTGAAGTAAAAGATTTTCTTCGGTTTGGCTATATATAGATAGTAGTGCACATGTGATGATGGAAAGTGTGTTTAGGTTAGGATTTGCCAGTCACCACTAATGTAGGTTCGAATACTGGTTCACTAGCCCAAGTCATGCAGGCCTGGTAGTGCTAAACTAACAGAGGCCTTTGCCTCCAAAGATCCAGGCAAGTATTTATCGTCTTGGGTGTGGGAATTAAGCTCTGAGGCTCATCGTCGTCATCCTGTGGGTCTCAGTGCTTCATTCCCCAAGGAACAAAAGGATAGCCTCCATCTTCCTGCCCTTTCATTTCCCACGTGCCACTAGGTGAGAAGGTTTGTAGCTAATTGTGTGCTCAGGCAGCTAGCTCTGAAAAGAGCAGTTGTGTCCTGGATGCTTTGAGAAGGGACAGTGAGGAGTCATGTTTATTTTCTACACATCGCAAGTTCCGATGTCTGCTCCTTGAATCATGTTGTGTCTACCTGCACTTTGATAGAGAGAAAGAGAGAGAAGGAGTGATTTCTAATATTTGTACAACTGTATGTGAAAGAAATACAACTGTCATGTGAGTTTTTTCTTCGATACCAAATTCTGATTCAATTCCGTGCAATTCCTTCTTTAAATAATGTTAGTTAATAAAATAAATATTAAGGTATGGCTGTTTACATACTTAAACGTTACAAAGAGTTACAAGAAAAAAAAGGAATGCTTGCTAAAGCAAACTGTTCTAGACACATTTTCAGAGTCTACTTTCCTAGAAATAAATTTCTTCCAGAAATGTTGCCTAGCTGTCACATTGACAGATATTGCTAGGACACCAATTGCTCCGCTGTAGAAGCGAAACAGACTCAGCCTTCTGTCTCTCTGGAGCCGCCCTTTTCCAGGCTTCTGAGCTCTGACACAGAGTTTTGGTCCTACTCCTTTGGTGTGGGTTCAGCCTCTGTAGCGGCGCGGCATCTCCCTCTACCCCACCCCTGCATTTTGAGAGACGGGCTTGGACATGGGTCCCTGGGAGCCTTGGCTGTGGGATCACATGCCCATGGGTCCAGCCAGAGGACTGCTGACCACAGGACATGACGCTGTCCACCCTTCTTCTGCTTCCTGTGGCTCCTGGGGGAGATCCAACACTCCTGTTCAGTCAGTAGCAAAGGAGGGTGGGGTATAGGCAGGCTTTTACTGGAAAGGAAGCCAGCATAATATCTCACTCCATTTCAGACAGGTGTTCCACGAGCATCCCCAAACCAGAGGATGAGCGTGCCATGTTGTGCTCCACTGTCCATTCTGACTCCTTTAGGGCTCAAACTTCAGGGGTTCTCCATGATTTGCAGTGACTAAAAATTGAGAAGGCTAATCTATGTGCTTATAGAAATAGATTTTTAAAACTATCCATGCTGCAACAATTTGAATATTAAAAGAAAAGTTTTAAGAGGCTTGCGAATTACAAATGCCTTTTCAATTCTAAGTCACTCATTCAAATATAAGAACTGTTTGATGATAGAATAATCTGGACCTGAAAGTGCCGGGAAGACACCAGCATTTAATGTCTACTGGTCTTCTTCAGTCTGACGACCACCCATTCTAGATCCTTTGGCTCACATATTATGCCCCAGTGTATGTGTAAGTACAGTCATGCTTGTCAGACTAGGACTATTCTAATTTTAGGCTTGGGAAATATGGCTTCCATAACTTTTGCCCATGTAGACCCACATCTCTTCGGGTGAGAAGAGGGACAGGTAGTTAGAAATATCTAAAAAGAAAGAGACCAGGCAGATCGTCCAAATCGACTTTGGCAATCCATGGGATGACAGATGTTGTAGACAGATGGCACCCATATTGGAGAAAAATCCAATGATGACGACGGGGAGACCCACGCGTTTTCAGGAGGGTTTTGCTAGGGGTGCGTTTGGAATCAGGTTAGAGATTGTATTACCTCAAACTTAGTATCAATGGTATATATTTTTTTAAAAAGTCGTTCTCTTGCTACCTAAGAATTGTAGACTGTCATCTGAAGCTTTTATGGCAGGGAAAAGGGGAAAAGTGTAGGTACTGAGAAAATCTGCCTCCATCAGTTGAAAACCTTAAGCTTTTGGGGACAGTCAACATAGATTCAGCTCTGGGTATTTGTTTCACTGCCTTCCTATATGAAGCCTATATCTATATCTATCTATCTATCTATCTATCTACCCTTGATGCATTAAACCATCTGATATATCACTCCATACCTTTGCAGCACTAAATTACGATTGTTTTTCAGATGTGATGTAAAACTTTGGCTTCATATCTGTGAAATCTGGATCTACTTAATCATTTTGGCTGGGGGTCAGGAGTTGGTGATTTTATTCTGTAATTTAAAACATATTCAAATCAATGAAGTGTGGGTTTTCTTTTTTCTTTTGGGTGCTTTATTTGTTTCTGTTTTAAACATTTCTCCACAGAATCATCAACATAACTTAATATTAAAATACCTACTTAAATTTCTGAAAACATGCCCATTTTTACAATGACGACTGAGAATTCATTTTGTGTAAACCTCAACATCCTTGAGAAAAGGTACATTATGACTATTTCTATTTGTGAGGTTGGAATGTGTGTTCCTAAGTAAAATCTTTAGCTTCTGTTAACTAAACTCTCTCTTCCTCTAAATTTGTGTAAGTAATTCAGTATAACACATGCTGATGAGCCACTGGGTAGAATTTGGATTTGGGAGTATCTCAGGTCCCATAGCTGGATGGGGCTCAGCACTTGGTAAGCTCACTCTGAATGGCCAAAGTTCCAGAATCACTGGGGGAACTTCTAATTCTTCTCAAGTTAGGTAGGTAGGGAAGGATTTGGAAAATAAGTTAAATGGCTAACAGCGGGATGGGATGGGGTATTACTAAATATGTGGAATGCCTTCTGGCCTAAACCCACTCATTTGGACAGCAGATGCTGTACTTATAAATTAGTAAGTTTCACTTCATTTGAAACCCAGGCAGTTGGCTTCCAGGAAACATTGATCAGCTATGGTCGAGAAGCTGTTTTATGATAAATATTCCCCACCATAGTCACCACTGCTCGTCTGCTGTGATACTTGAGATTCTTGAAATAAGGCCTTGTGCCTTTGATCATGGAGGCGTGATGTTCTCAATGCCCCCCAACTGATGATGGATCTGAAGAATGGGCATTACGGGAGGAGAGAGGAGACGAGAGGCTGATATGTTGGATTGGGAGGCTAAGTGGATTTGTATACCACCACATAGAGGTAGGTAATTAGTGCACACACAAGTCAAACCAGTGTTTCAGAGCCAATAACTTGGTCTCCAGCTCTCGCCATCACGCACCTGCTTATTTGGTTACTTAACAACTTCTGTGCAATGCAGTGAGCACAGAAAGGAGCTGGGCCTCTGCTCCTAGGTCTGTAAAACGGGGATAATAATGTTCCAGGTACATGGCTATGAGCACTAAAGAATGTAACTCCCTGGCCAGGGGGCCTAAAGCAAGTGCTGTCATAGTACCTCTAGCAGCACCTGGGAGAACAGGGGCCTGCACTGGGAGAGACAGGTTGACGATGGAGGGCCATATGAGTAACTAAAGCCTGATTTGGAACCTAGATCCACTCTGATGAGCTGGGTGACCTGATGAACCTGAACCTCACGTTTCCCCCATTTTTGAAATTCCAAGCTTAGCAAGAGGCGTTGATGAGCTCCTGGAATCAGTGCCTGGCCACTGCTAGTGATGCTTAATTGGCACAGAATTTCTGTTTGGGATGGTGAAAAAGTCCTGGAAATAGATAGGGGTGAAGGTTACACAACACTGTGAAAATACTCCCTACCACTGAATTGCACTTTAAATGGCTAATATGGTAAATGTTATGTTATGTATCTACTACCACAAAAAAAGAAACCACTATCATAAAAGAAAAGGGGCAGGGGTTGGGTGTACTACCATTATGTCCTGGGACTGTTTGTGGGCAAATACAGGTGACAGTCTTTCTGGTGAATTGAGTCTCTGTGAAATCCAAAATCAGC